TATGATCAAATAGCATAGAAAAATAGAACATTCTTTTCTCTATCAGACTATATAAAAGAAAGTTTCTTTAACCTTTCTATAAGGGATAAAAATACCACTGCCACTACTTTTGGTATGCCCTAAGTATGTATTGTTCAAAACAAACCATTGGATAGCCCTTGAAATTTTCTACAATGTGAGCTGGTCACAATATCCAGACAGGTGGGGCCAGCCAGTAAAGATATGGAAAAGAAGCTTTTGGGTGTTATCTAAGCAGTACAGTGTGTCGTAATCACAAGAACTCCCTTGTTTTTGACTGTTTGGTAAAAGCTGGAACCAATCTGAATAATGTTTCGAATAGCTCGAAGATTTTTCTATCAGATGAGGTGCATATCGCCCTTGCATGAGAGAAGTTCATAATAGAGCTTCTGGAAAACCTGACCGCTGAAAAACCAAGTCCTTAGTTTTTAGTGAGAAAATTTTGCGAACCATATAGCCTGATAGAGCAAAGAATTTTGAGCATCATCAAACAACTTCTACGCAATTAGAAGAAACACCGAAGCAATTTTTCTTAATTATTCCTGTGATAAACGTTTATACTCTTACAAAATAATTGTCTATCTACCTGCATTTTCATCAGTTTGCAAATATGAAGCAGAAAAACTGATTCATCTGAGCACGACGTGTACTATTAAGCAATCTTGTACTGTTTTCGTAGTCATAAAGTTGATGCTCGTACATGCTACTTACTGCGTTTGAATAAAGTAAGGGTGGCACACCTTTCCCCAAATTCTTTCAAACCATTAATGCTTTAATCATGGGAGGAAAAGTACGACAGCTTTGTACGATATTTCTAGTTAACTATGTGGAACTTCATAATTTTTCATACTAGAAAGATACTCGGTTGGACTAGCCAAAGATACTAAAATCCAAAACTTGTAATCTGACTGAACTATGTTCCATACGATTTTTTTATCAGGCTTGTACGTCTGTTTCACTACTATAGACCTACAAATTTCATGTAGTAAGATTTTGCAGGCTTCCTTTCAGTTCAATCGTTTCTTCTTCTTCTCGCAGGCAACAGGTGCTGCGATTGTAACACTAGTCGATGTTTTCCTTATTAGGCTAGTGATGAGTTTCTATTGCTGAAAATTAAAGACGTGAATGTTGGATTTTTCATCACCTAGCGTCTTCACCGTACTTTCATTTTCTAATTTACCAGTGTACAACGAAAGAAAAAGAAAGAGACGAATGTCACCATAATTATTTTGTGTATTTTCCCATAGAAGATAAAATGGTAGCGATGATATGCATCATTGTAAAAACAAAATTATGATACATTTCCAGGACTGTCCTTTCTGGTAGAAGAGTCTAAGGATGATGGAACATTCAGGTCGCAGCAATATTACTTTGTAACTGTTATAAGTATGAATACGATGAAATTCTCTTCTCTGCTTTTTCTTTTACATCAAATAGAATTTCTTTTGTATCGCTGAAGCTCACCATGATGCTTCTTCTAATTCTCAAAATGCAAAATATATTGCTGTTGTCGGTACTGCTGCTAGTGGTTAGTTTTCTTATTGTAAGTACATGTAAAGCGTTTAAGTTGAGGAGCTAGTAATACTTAGATTCAAAATGAGCATTTTTAGACCACTGCTACTGATGATAAAGTCGTTGTTCTCAGTAATATTAGATCATCATCGAAACCAGGCGAAACCATTACGTAAAAACCTGAAACAGAATACCTTGGATTTGCGAAGCGAATCCCCTTTTTAAAAAAGCCTCATTTTTCCATCACGACAGGCTGAAATACTTTTTATGCGATTGAAATATGAAAATCCCCAACTAAATGCCACTCTACACTCCAAAAGATGTGTTTCATCCCCTCTTTGTGCATGTTGAGGAGCTAACGAAATAGTAAAGCATTATTTATTAGATTGTTCAACGTATATTTTAAAAAGAACCGATCTGCTATCCGGTCTAAGCTTCCTGCCTTGTGTGTCGGTGGCTAGTTTATTGGGAGTCCGTGAGAGATGTTTGGGCGAGAGTCAAGTTATTCTGAACGAGCTTTGCAGGTATATACTACGGACAGTGCGATTCTGAGAAGTTTACGTTTCCTCTCGCTGCAAATACAAATAGAACAGTAGAAGTGATGACCATCTCTTGCGTGAGCTTTCTCTTTCCGATCTTAATCTGTAAAACTTGTAAGCTAATGGAGTGCCGCTGAAAACAGCTGCATGTGACACTCTTAAAAGAACCTAATTGTAAGACTAAAGCCGCTTCAGGGACTTCATGCTAATTTTGAATGAATTTAAGCGGAAGCCAGTTGTTAATACGGTTGGACTGAACGAAGCAGTGAATAGGAGCTGCAACTCCGCTCAAGCACATCCTAGACTAGCATTAGGCTTTTAGTTATGTTATTGTGTTTAGTACTCAAGACGAAATAGGCTGAGCTCCAGCATTACATGTTTCCGATACGAGAGGCAATATAAACTACAAACATTTTATGAAAAACATAAGACCTTCGACTGATAACTGGAATCGTCACAGACATAAAAATGGTAAAGTATGCGACTTTGTATACTTAATGTACATTCTCGCCGTTTCCTTTTCTGAACATTCTGAACATCGAAACACTGCATCAATCGAAAGCTCTTATAGTCTACATAAAATATTTGCTCTTGAGCTTGTATAGATTATTCTGGCTTACTTCAACATTATATTGAAAAATGCAGCTGGAAGGGTGAGAAGTTTATCAAGCTTCATCATATGAGAAATTTCACAAGCAGCGAAGTCGAAACATTTGAAACGCACAATCTTACCGCTATTTGTCGTTTAGGAACCCAACTAATAATCATGGAAACGACAATCCGAACGACAAACGTCCCAATCGATAATTTCCGCTTTTTAAACAAAGGCCTTTCTTAGTATCTTGAGGGTATGTCGTGTAACGCGTGCATCGAATTTCGCTAACAACGACTGAGCAGCATAAACTTTACTTTCATAACGCGTCAAATGAAGGTAGAGCTTTGAAATACAGGCTATTCAATATCACGATATTTGAAGTATAAGTACCGCTCTAATTATTCTCACATGCCAAAACATTCTCTAGTAAACGAAGCTTTGACTAACTTCGAGCTAAGGTTGATCTATATCACCTCAGTTATAATACACTAATACCTGCTTGAATATTCTATCCTGAAGGCCAATGAAACTCTAGTACAAGTATGAAAACAACACGTTATTCTCATACTGCAACCCTGCTCAGTTTGGGCAGAGTTCTTGTAGCCCGTAGTTACAAAACGTGGTCCCGTGTTCTTGCTAGTTCTGAAATATACGATCCGTGAACCTCCTATTGTTTCTTTTCGTATAGAGGAGGTGTTGAGCCTTCTAATTCTTCTCACTGCAATTGCTAGTCAATGTTCATAAAGTTCTTTTCATGATTTTCTACTATTTTCTCATGCTTTTGTTTAAAATAAATTTTGAGAAATATTATTGAGAAACTAAATTAGTTCATGTCTAGCTTGGAGATGATTTTTCAGATATGGTTTCTACTATTTTGCAAGAATCTCACGATAAATATGGTTTCTACAAGAATATCGCGTATCACGTTCCCCGTGTAAGCGCTGTAGGTATTCAAACGCTATACAACATCGCTCGATCTAATCCAACTTAAGTTTACATTAAAGGTTTTGATATTTTATTACTGAGGAACTTGACTAAACGAAAACCAATAAAAGTTAGGTCTGAACTACTAGTAGACCACAAAAAATGTACATTCTGATCGAAAATAAAAGTTGGTTACAAGTCAGTTTTATGTAAGTAAAGAAACAATTATCAATAATGAAAATTAATTAACAATTGTTAACAGTTACTATTTTCACACCATAAAGCAATAACGGTCAATAATTTCGATTGGAATCTTTTCTCTAAATAATTTGTACGAAAGTTAAAATCTCAGCCGGAGCATAGCAACAATTACACTTTCATTTACATGGAACGTACACACAAAAAGGTTCGCGACTGTATTACAAGTTGTTTCTAATATTCATCATTTCATGTAGTTAAAAACACATTGATCCTTAAAGCCGGATTAAGATTTCCATGTATTTTCCGCAGTTTTCATATAACGGGGCCTCCGTGACCGTTACACTCCGTCTCGGTGCATCTCTAAATCAGAAAGTCTTAAAGAGAAGATGCTTTAAAAATTAATCGACTTTTTTTTTAAGTCAATTCCGATGCATTAGCTCCACTTCTCCTTCTTATCTTTCAGTTATTCAAAGTTCAAGCCTACATTAATTAAGTAAAAGTCATTAGATATCTTCAAATTAAATTAATTTTCCAGTGGAAGTGTATGTGTAAGAAAAAAAACAGAACGATGTGAGAGCAACAGTGTAATGTTTTTTAGTGTTGTTTTTTCTTCGAAAGTTGATGTTTGCCAACAAAATATTATAGATTTATTCAATCATTTCCAGTAATTGTACAGTAATTTTCAGACAAATAAGACTGTTAAACTGCTTATAAACGCCTATTTCGATAAATAGTACTCATATATAGCATATATTCATTATAGCTCACTTGTCCATCACGATTAAGATCCATTTTAGCCATAACTCGATCAACTTCTTCATCACTAAATTGTACACCATTACGACTAAGACATTGACGCATTTCATTTACAGTTATATAACCATTTTTATTCAAATCAAATTCATAAAAACCATCATTTATTTGTTGTACTTCATCGGGTGTAAGACCATAGTAATTAGAAGCACTCCACATTTTTCTATGTTACAAGACGAAATTTTTACTTTAAAAAAACCGTACCGTCAAACACGTTTCTTGCAATGAGTATGGTCTGTATATTGTATTCTTTCTGTTTTATGTGGTTTCGCTTGATTTCTCAAGTGTATAAAGGCTGATCAAGATGGTAGTGATACGAAATTTTTCATTGTCATGCAAAGAAGTTATTTACTTTTAAAGAGAAGAAAAGTTTTAAAACGAAAGCAGAATTTGAAACGAAACAGAGGACTATTTTCTTTAATACACCATACCTCAGCGGGTACAAATAATTGAAGTTTATCATTTTTTCTATTAAAGGATTTTAGCCTTCGGCTGTAATACGAAAAATGAAACTTTATCACACGAATATTTTCTTTTGAATACTTTTTTTATTATCGTTAATGGATTGAAAGTATCTACTACTTGAGATTCTTAGGGAGATATTATATCAGTAAAGACGAACAAAAAGACGGAAACCTTATTGAAGATAAGTATAATGAGGGTAAAGCTGTCAGTTTTAACTCTCCTGAGAGGAGGGATTTAGTAAAGCAAGATGTGGAGTTATATATGAAAGAATAACTTTATATTGGGTTGAAATAAAAAGTCGACTTTATCCAAAATATATGACTAGTGACTTGACTCAGAGTTGGAACCGGGCCGATCCACCGATCTTTTGCTGGTCTAAAAATATTCTCGACCGGTTTTAAATTCTTAGCATTTTTCGATACAGCGACATTACCGCGAACGACATTACCGCGAGACAATACCGCGAACGACAATACCGCGAACGACATTACCGCGAACGACGTTACCGCGAACGACATTACCGCGAACGACATTACCGCGA